TTGTAGTCATCTCTGTCATCGTTCCCTCTGTTGCTGTAGTTATCGCTCTGGTCGTTTTGGTCACTGCTTTCCCTATCCATGTCATCGCCATCGGACGGGCTATCATCGTACTCATCCCCCTCGTGACGAACTCTACCATCATCTGGTGTATACAAAGTTACCGTAGGAACTCTCGTTTTATTCAAAATTAAAATCATTCACTTTTGTAGAGTTAAACTGGAAGTTCAAGAAATAAAAATATCCTATTTTCTCGTACTAGAAACATGAAGCAAGTGTGCCACTCCGGTAAATTTCTCGAGAATATTTGCGTCAAAGACAAGACTAAATGAGTTTCTTGCCATCTTATAGTCCCTAAAAGTACAAATGGACCAAGTTAATGCGATATGATCACATGAACTGGCCGGTTAACCTACAACTAAGATTCTTAGTGCGTATAATCAACATTCAACGCGGTGAAGTTCAATGATTAACACGAAAATTAAGCCAGACAGTAAACGGAACTAAGGTTAAGATCTTAAATAAACAAACGGGCAAATGCAGGCAATGTATCTATATGATTATGATCTAACACGATTTGGACTGATAATTAAACAGAGCACCAATGAAAGATTCTTACCATCTGGCACTGGCGAAGGGCTGACCCAACTTGGTGCCAACAGAGCCGCAATGAAGAGGAAGAGTAAGCCTTTGGATTCCATATTGTCAAGTTGATCAACGTAAAACACCGGCTGTATTCGATTGAGTGAAGATTTCACTTGCTACTTTGGCAATTTATACTTTTGCACTGGCATAGGTAAGATTTAAGATCAATATACTGCTGTGCATTTGATGGGAGTATCTAATCGGTCTTTTCAGTTTTGAGCGAAAGTTGTGATATTAGGAAGAGAAAACATTTTTAATTTTAGAAACAATGACATCAAATCAGGGGAAAAAAGATGGCTTAACATGCAAATAAATCTTATCCCTCTCAAAAATTTCTGTTTTCTTTTAGGACCACAATATCTAGTGGGATTAACAGTGTTGTGTCGAATTTGAACGTTGTTGCCATGGTGTTCAATTTTTACTCTCATCTCGGTTTTAATGCGATTAAACCCACGCAGAATAATGAATCATTACCAGAATTTTCCCGCTTACTATAGCTATTGCATAGGAAACGTTCATAATTACCTTGCATACAAAGAAGACCCTAGCACACTATTTCAGAGGTCTGTTTTTCACAGTTGTAGGCAAAACCAAGTTTATTCAAACAGGCCATATTCGTATTCTCGGTTTTAGACTGGAACTAGCTTGCAACGGAGGCTCCTGAGGGGGAATATCATAAAAAAAGAGATAAATGTGATTTGCATTTAAAAAGACTCCCTGCGTTACCCTCAGTTGCAGGCTAGTTCCAGTCAAATACCAGAATACCAATATGACCTATTGTAACATAAATAATCTACCCTGGTTTATAGAAGATTATCTCCGCATTGGTCTTGTTTTCAACGCTTTGTCGACAGGGATTAAGAATTTTGTATAAGAAACTATATTTAACTTGAAGGATTCTTGACGTCAACTCATGTGCGACTCACAAATTATCCAACATCAGCCCACTTAAAGGCAATTAAACGTACAAGCAATGTAAATATAAGGTTAACAGCTTACTTATTGCGTACAAGGGGATCAAACAGAATTGTAATCATTATGCTTGCCGTTTCTAATGTAAGGACGTTCGCGGGAAAATTTTCCAACATTGATTTTTTTTTCTGAGACTTTTACCACTGTAAGATGATGAGTTAGTTATGTCAGAAATGTAAAAAAATGCGGGGTCATCCGACCTCGTTTTGGACGGAACATGCTCGGAAGAACACCTTTAATCTGAAACAATCGGGCTTCGATAGCAAGTAAGGCCATAGTGTCTGTAAGCCCAAAATTATAGCAATTAGATCTTTGAAGAGAAATGTTCTCTGCCATATATTTTTTAAGTGGACCTATTAAGTGAATTTAGTCAACTGGTGAGGTTCCTTAAAGAACAAGTTCGCATTCAGCGACCGTAGGTTCACGCGCCTTGCAGCCGCAAGGTGGCAGGATTCGATGTCCCGTGGACAGAAATATTGAATTTTTCTTAACTTCCCACATTGATTTTTTGTTCATTTTTGGCCAATGCGGAGATAATTGTTAATAAAATCTGTTTCTGGAAAGAAAAGTAGGGGTCACCGTACGTCCAAGATCGTTAAATCCACGCAAAGTTATAACAATGGCCATCTGCCCTATCATTGTTCATTTCAGTACTTAGCGCGCGCGCTCGATTCATGACGTGGCGTGTGAATTTGCGTGCGCAGTAAGGATGTGCAGAAACAGTTAGCGCAAACGTCCTAAAGAGAAAACGACGTCTCTTTATCATTTATCAAGAAATACAAAATATTTTCTTTATTTCCATCGAGTTATAGGAAACACGGGTGGAGGTTTGGGAGAGCAAGAGATTTTGTGGGAGCACGAACCAAAGAAAGACACCTTTTTCGACTTCTCCCAAACTTTCACGAGTGTTTCTATATCACAATAGAAACACGGAGAAAATGTTTTGAATTTGTTTTAGAAAATACCGGGAGATAAAGAAGAGATACTCAAAAGTTTATTCCGATATTCAAAATGTTTTTAGGAAACGCTTCCTTGTAAGGTCTTTTCTAAGTGCCAGAAAAAAAAAATGAACAAAATGAACGTATGCAACCCAGATGTCATTCCGCTTTTTCTTCACGGATATTCTAAGAAAAATTCTGATGAATAGTATCTCATTCGGATGGGGGAAGAAGCACATTTCTCGTAACTTCGTGCGATGGAGTTATGCTCTACCCCTATGAACAACTTAACTTAAAAACAGAACACAGTACAGCATAATTATCTTCAAGATACGCAACATCCTCCAGTTTAAGGTGTTCATAATAATTAGTCGAAGGAATTCCATTCTAATTTAGCCAAGCCTGCGGACGCAGAAATATTTCCGTTTGTCGCTTGCTTTCGCAGGCTAGCCAACTTTTTAACCTCAAAGAAGAGAGAGAGCCTCGAACCTTCGAGGAAGCGTTTTGCAAACAACTACAACTAGATATTTCATGAATGATTCAAGGTATAAAATAAAGCACCTATGTCGCAAGATTGTATTGGCCCACTCAGTGTATTGACCTGTTCGAAATTTTGCCTTGGACTGTAGAATAGTAATGTAGTTTCTTGCTTTAATCTAAAAAAAGAAAGTTTTGTACAATGTAAATTCTGCAAAACTTTCTTTCTCTAGTTTTTCTTTCAAGGAAATTCGTATTTTGCATATTTTGGAGACAATCAATACGTAACTTTCTAGAATTTACACCCATCAATATATAACAATGTGAAGAATGTCAAGCCAGGTACCTTCTCTTTTAATATTCGTTTGACGAAACCCGTTTTTTAATAAAAATAAGATTTAAAAGGACCATCAGTCTTATAAGTCTAAATGTTTGGAACAGCTGCATTTTAAAGCTAAGTTATAAACACGATACAAAAGCATTTCCAGGGTCCAACGAAACAGATAATAAAGTATCGCATACTTATTTAACTTTAATATTTTGAGCATTTAAAATATATTTTCACGCTCTTATCATGTCATCTATGCTGTTAGATTCAGAGTATATGTTAAAACAAATATGCTATGCTGGTGGCAGAAGTGGGACAGGAAGATTCGCCTATTATTATCAAGAATCGAGATATAACTTCTAAATTATGCTAGATATAAAGCATACGATTAAACACAAACATATCGAATGAAATGTTCCGATGGATGTAAATCCGCTGGCTGAATTGAAGAGCATTAATCTTTCAAGGCCCTGGTCAGCTGAAAGATCGGCATCGTTGTTGATGTCATCGTCCGAAGCACTACCACTATCATTGTCGCCACTATCATTGTCGCCACTATCATCGTCGTCATCATCATCGTCGTCGTTATCATCATCTTCATCATCGCCGCCATCGTCATCATCGTCGTCATCGTCATCGTCACTATCGTTGCCGTCATCATCATCATCGTCGTCATCGTCGCCATCGTCATCATCGTCGTCACCATCTTCGTCATCGTCATCATCGTCGTCGTCGTC